GTTATGTGTGATTGAAGTATCTTATATACTCGGGGCAAAATACCACGTAGGTAAGTCTATAATAAGTATCTCTCGCTAAATATGACTGCAGAATCACGCCGAAAATAATTTTCTTACTTCTCACTGCCAAAGAAACCAATTATTCTTATTTATTTATGGTAGGTGACGCGTCTATTGCCTACTTTCTATTATAAATAAAAAAAAATCATTCGACAATTTACAGAATTTAGTAGCAAAAACAAAAAAAAAAGCAACGCGGTTCCGCCAGCCAGGATTGAGTAATCTGCGGCAAGAGCTAGAGAGCAGGAAGATTTATGATTATGATCCGTAGCCGTGTACCCAGAGACATCACAATTTATGCGATAACACTGTTTTGTCTTCACGATAAATTAATAGTCCACTTGCGACGGTACACAACTTTTCCATCCACTGCCGTCAACACACAGGACAAAGCCATAAAACTGTGTCAAATTATAAAACCCTTTGAACTCGCCGTTAACATAATCGTATAGTACTAAAATAAAAAGACCGTTTTGAATGCAAGACATGTGTCCACATGTTGGTTGGTAAGACTAAGAGACAAACCGTGTATAATGTGATAAAGTAGCTGGCTGGAAACTTCGTATGACGAACGCCCTAATAATTGTGTTGAAAGAAAAAGTAAGTTTTTATTTTTAAATTCAGGGTGCCGACTCTGGCACAGGGTGGTTTCGTTTGGTCACAGTCGTGATTGTTTTTCTCATTAAATCTTTTAAGTTTTTTAATGAGAGTTTATTTTTTGTAGCCATAACTATTTTAAGATAGCATCTGAACACTTTTTTGATTAAATGTTTTCACATCAGTTATCGATGAATCCGGAGATATTATAGGTACTATTAATGACAATGAAATTAACAATAGAAACTTTATAGACCAGTTTGTAGTAGAAAATAGAATGATAACTCTGCGTAGATTCTTCTACCGTCCGACCATTTAACCTGAACCTAATTAAAAAACCTAAGATACCTACGTTACCAATCTTATTATCACTATTCTCAAACACCTAAGTAGGTAAGTAGCAGTCTGCAAAAAATATTGACTAAAGAGAGACCATTATCGCTAGAGAGGTGGTGTTTACTCTGATGCGCCGCTCAGTCGCCGGGACGAGATAAATCGACACACTTGAATATCGCTAAGACTCTCCCACGACGTGACACGCGCACCCTGATACTAGTGTCAACAAGGATATCATATCTGTTTTCTTTGTCCTCTTAGTTTTTTTTTTGTTAGGACATTATCGCTATTGGGACTGAATTGTTTATTGTTAATTATCTTGGGAGATATTTTAGAAATAATGCTTTTTTGATTACTTATAATAACTACACGATGTGGCTGTAGCCTGGAGATTGTTTTATGGTTATTAGGGATAGAAAAATAGAACTGTCTTGCTGTTGTTAAAGTTTATTAGAAAAACTACGTTTAGGGTGTTTTGGTGTGGAATTATTGCGCATAGTAACCTAAAATCTTTGGCACAGATGTATGTACAAACTAGGTTCTACCTAACCTACGATATAAAAGCTCAAAAAAAAAATCTAGAAGACAGTGTTTTGCAATCAAATATGACTCGCGCAAGAAGGGGCATCTGGCATCAAACTTTAACTCTTACTGATTAAAAACCACCCTATTCCAACTCCTTTTCTCGCCCGCTAAGCAGCACCTACTTAAATATAAACTTGAACCAAAAACTAACTATGTATCAAGTAAACCATAATAATCGGTTTGATGCTAACCAAATGGCGTAAACAAACAGAAGTGGGGGTGTTTGCTCTCACGTCGGTCGACGGGTAATCTGTAAACGGTTATAATTATGAATTTATGAGAACGCTCCCAACTATCATCACCGTGCACCACATCGTTTATTATTAAGCTTACAAAGAAGTAACAGCTGATGATAGAAACGCAGTCCGTTTATTTTGACATGATTGATTCTTTATAGATCAAAGTTATTGCAGTCACACCTATCTAAAATACCTACATCAATAAAATAATACTAAAATTGAACAGTGAAGGATTGTTTTAGGACGCACAGAAGTTTTCTAATCTAATATTTCTAAACGATTTTTTTACGTTCCATTTTGTAATTCTTGATTATCAAATTAAATCATAATACCTATCAATATCTCTTTAACAAGAAATCAAAATAATTTTAGTTGTACATATGCTAATTCGAATCAAAATAGTAAATTATAGATAAAAGCTACGAACAATACAATTTAACATGACTCGTTGACGTGAACTGTCAATGTCACGACACATTTCGTGTAATGGAGTGTAAAGTTTTGTAACATTTTTCTGTTTGTGATTTAATTTCAATAAATGAAACAAAAATGAGTTTTTTGCGAAGAATTATTAATCCAGCACTCGTTACCCGTGTATTTAAACAGGATATTATTCATAGACCAATACACTTTTGTGTTTATCAACATGTAAACATAACCTCTAAACTAGTAGAATTGTATTCTAACAATACGAATTATACAACAGTGCGTTGGAAATCAAAAAAGGTGTGTATTGTTTAGAATAACATTAATGTACTTCCTTTCAAAAGTAAGTTCTAAATATTACAATTTTTATTTGAATTCTAACCTTTTCTAAGGTCACAAATCTCAATGTTTTTCTTCTAGAGACAATACGATTCAGACGACGAGGAAATTGTACTAGAGGATGATTCGTCTCTCTCGAAAGATTCAAAAGTAGTCAAATTTTCTACCACTTCAATGAGAACTGATGTAGTATTGAAATCAGCACTTAGTATATCAAGAAAGTAAGAAATCTTTTCAATTAATGTTTTTGTGGAGTCTGAACTAGCCTTTAAAAATATGAAAAAAAATAACTCAAATTTTTTCTTTCCAGTAAAGTGGAACAAATGTTTTATGAAAGTAAAATCAGAGTCAACGGAAAGAAAATCTTAAAGAAAAGCGCTTCGGTAAGAATGCTATTTGCAAGTAATAGAAAAAAGGACATAATAATATACAATAATGTTAGTGTTACTATGACGGTACTCAATGAGTTAAATAATCCAATATAATTTTTTAGGTAAGGCTGGGTGATGAAGTAGATGTCATAAAGATGGTGAGCCCTAAGAATCCAGATCACATTTATGTGTCCAGAGTAGAAATCCTAGATGTAGCAGCTAAAGAAGAGAGCATTCAAGTTACAGCAAGGAGGTTCAAACACTTGCTCATAGAGAACTATGAAAATGACCCTATAAAAACTTCGGAAGAAGTTTAGTAAAAATGATTCCCTATATTTATTATTCCTGGGATGTGTACAATAATAGTTAAACTTTCTGCAATTTTCTAATATGCGACAAAGAGCATTAGACCTGATGATGTCGAAAAAAAGGCAGACCTAGTATCTTGTGTCAACAACTGTGGCACCTCGCTGACTACTATAACGTTACACACATAACATAAACACATTGACACAAAGGAAATCTGTATTTTTCTGAAGTCTGGTAATGTGGTAACCCATTTCACACATACAAAAAGAAACCACTGACATTTTGGTACATTAATGATTTCTAAGTAACTTTATGTTCGTCTTTTTTTTAACATTCTTGATTAGGCTATGATTTTGGTGTAGGTAGAAAAGAATGTGACAAAATATAGCTCTTAATCATAACTATTGTAACCGTCTTAGGTCTTATTTGTAAATATTATGTAGAATTTAATTATTACAAATAAAAATTATGAATAAACGGTAGTATTTGATTTATTTTAACAACAAAATAATATAAACACGATTAAATATCTAAATCTATATCACAGTCTGAACTTTCAAACATTGATATTTGAGAACTTGGATTAGATGGCTTCTGATTTGATATTGTAGAAGTATTTTCTTTGCCTTTCACATGAGCAAGTATTGTTACATTAGTATCTGCATCTATATGTTCAAACATTGACAACTGGGATTTAGAAGTAGATGCATTTGTATCAGAAGCACTCCTTTCTATATTGTTTGCCTTTAATTTCATTGTATAACTGACATTATCTGTAGTTTTTTTATTTAAAGGTTTTCTTGGCTTATCATCATATTTATCCAAATCATGTTTGCTAACAAATTGAAACTGTTTAAGCTTACTAACAGTTCTTTCTTTGACATCATCCTTTTTTATATTCATTTCAATACTAATGTCTAATACACTGTCGAGATTTTCTTCAGATGTGTCAATCTTTTTGGGTGTTTCTGTTTCTTTAGGTTCAGATTTCTCATTGTTGCTTTCATTGTTAACGGTACTATCATCAATGTTACTCTCATTGTTAACATTAGTTTCATCACTTCCATTATCAAAGTGGAAATCAATGCCTAAATCAGCTAAAGCATCATTTACACTTGGTACTGCTTTTAAAACAATTTGTTCTTCTACAAATTCTTCATCACTATTAGATTCTTGGTCTTCATTAGAATTAGGTTTGCCTTTGGACTTTTTGCTTCTTTTAGGTAATTTATTTTTTACTCCAGTAATGTCTACAGTTATTTCTTTTCTTTTGCGTTTATTACCACCTTTCTTTTTAACACTAGGTGGTTCCTTTTCTGTACTATTAAGAGTCTTGTGTTTCTTTAGCGTAACAGCAAATCTTTCATTTATACCATCATTCTTAAACTCTTTATCTTTTTTTACATTCTCTATATCTTCAACAATTGCATTGTCATTACTTTTATTACCTTTTTTATTATTAAAATAAGAACTAGTTATTAGAGACGCTGATAGTTGTATGTTATCATCAGTAACATCATCGTGTTTCGCGAATAGTTTACAATTACCTGTTTCTAAATCATTCTCTAACGTTTTATGGTCAACTTGTAATAACTTCGCGTAGTATAATAGTTCGTTCCGCCATACATCAATCAAATTCAACCTCGTTAGAAGTTTTTTGGCTGTGCATAAGTATTCAAAGTCAGGGTACTTGGGTATAGTTGAATGTAAGGCGTCCGCAGTGTCATCGAGTGTGCAATCCTGCATAGAAAGGTCGACAAGTGAAATTGCTACGACCGCATCCATTGGTAAGATTGTAGTACGATACATTAATCGGCAATGGGCCTGAGATAATCTGCAATGACGAGAATCCATCTTTATTAAATTATTCTAAAGATATCGGCAGAGTAGCTTTCATTGCAGTTTCTTAAGCAATTTTGTTTTAGATTCCATCAATCAGAATTCGTCTTTTATTATTAGCTGGACTTACCTTACTAAACTGTCTAACATTCTGACAGTTGTTCGGGACGCGTCCCGATGTTCAGACATTCGTTGTGCCATGTAATACTTCTGGAGAATAATATTTGCTGATTTCGTCATTTCTGAATACTTAGGGCCGACTAGACTTATGTACATCTGAAATCAAGAAAGTATTTATCATTACTACTAGTACTTTACATACATTAATATCAAGTTTCTTACTAGACTCATCAACCAAGAAGTTGTCTAATGGATATTATTTTTATCTTTATCATACCTGTAGCTTCTCGAGATTCCATCTTTTCTTAGATTCTTCTGCATTTGAGTCTCCAAAGAGTATGTATGACGATACTAATTTATCCCACGTTTTATTCTTCGAGTCCAATAGAATAAATATCAAATCAAACCTGAAAAACAAATACAAATAATATGTAATGTAATATTAAATTATAATGATATTTTTTTATGGGATAAGCCGATAAACGAGCTCACGGGTCACCTGATGGTAAGCAATGGGCCGGGAACACCAGAGGCGTTACAAGTGCGTTAACGGCCTTTTGGGGATTAGGAATTTGACGATTATAGGGAATTCAGGGATTGGGGAGATTGGGCCTCCGGTAATGAGTTGATCGAGAAACATACTCACTGATCAATTTCATTTGAAATTAAGTAATAATATATCAATATCAATGTAAGTACGTCATCTAATTAAATAATAAAAAAATATCTTTACCTACTTAACAGAGGTGTTCCCAAAGAAACATTGACGCTGAGAGGCTGATCCGTATCATAGTGTCCTTTGGGATTACAAGCAGCAATTATTGCACAGCGCGTGTTCAATTTGCATACAATACCAGCCTGGAAATTGCAAACCATTAGTTAATCAACACTAGCTTTAATACTTAGTAAATAAGGTCTAAATTACAACAGCGTAAGTTATAAGTTATGCTTAAAAAGCAAATGAACTTAAACATCAACTAAACAAAGTTTAAATTACAATAACTTTATACCTTTGCAACAGATATGGTTTGTTGTTCCATAGCTTCATGTATAGCAGTGCGGTCATGTTCTCTGAGCTGGGATATCTCGTCAATACAACATACTCCACCATCTGATAGAACTAAGGCACCAGCTTCTAGTTGCCATTCACCATCTTCCTGAAAATCATAAGATTATCTTTTAAAACCAATATTAACCCAACTTTTAAGTGTAGGAGAGCCATGCTTCGGCACACGCGGGCCGGTTCGACCGGAATGGTACCATGGCTTCACAGAAAACCGAAGTGAAACAATGCTCGTTTTAAATTATTATGTTTTCGGCTTACTCACGTAATTACTTGACGAGAAACTCGGCTAATTAGTAGCAGCGCGACAGTCGCTGCGTCGCAGGTCGCGTAATGCTGCTCATGAAGCCTCTAGCATGGCTTGAAACTAGTCGAGTTCCTCGTCAAATAATTACGTGATAATAATTATATATCTTAGGAAAGTTATAATACAAATGCTAGTTTTGTTTCCTCATGTGACTGAGGTTATCGGAGGCCCAGTTATTGAACCCTTTGTTTTGTTTTTAACTTAGAATTAATTTGTAAACTTACCCTGAGTGCCGCGCAAGTAAGACCGGCTCGAGTACTGCCGGCTCCCGAGGTGAATACAGATCTGGCTGTCAATTCTGCACCAGTGCGCAGTAGCTGTGATTTGCCAGTACCTAAAAAGTTACAAAACATGTGGGTAACATGAATGGGCCGGCTCGACCGAAGTGATACCACGGCCTCGCAGAAAACCGACGTGAAACGCTTGCGTTGTGTTTCGTCGTGTGAGTGAGGTTACCGGAGGCCCAATTACCCCCCTCCCTAGTCTCCCGAATCCCCGAATCCTCCACAATCCTCAAATTCCCAATTCCCAAAAGGCCGGTAACGCACTTGTAACGCCTTAGTGTTTCGGGTGTCCATGGGCGACTCCGATTGCTTACCATCAGGTGATCCGTATGCTCGTTTAAGGCTTATGCCATAAAAAAAAAGTTAATTGAAAACTTTTGTGCTTAATTAAGGCACTCCTGCTAAACAGATGACAGGCACTAGTAAGATGCCATTGCCAAAAATAACAATATTACAATAAGGTTCAATCGCTTACATAATTCTATTATACTAACTTATCTTTTTTTACATGCATACCTGGATCACCAACAAGAAGTAAATGACATTGGCCTCGCACACGAGTTGCATGTTTGTCATCTTGTGCGTTTTTCTTGTTATCTTGAATGTTCTCAGCAACATGATTTGAACCAGTAATCACTGTTAGAAGTACTGCCAACTTCACCAAGTGAAGACCATACACCTGAAACATTTTAAGTGAGTGTTTTAAAACTACAATTGGAATGGGAATTTTAAGATCATCATTCTGTTTTTTTTATGGCATAAGCCGGTAAACGAGCTGACGGATCACCTAATGGTAAGCAATCGGCGTCGCCCATGGACACCTGGAACACCAGAGGCGTTACAAGTGCATTACCGGCCTTTTGGGGATTAGGAGTTTGAGGATCGTTGGGGATTCAGGGATTGGGGAGATTGGGGAAGGGGAGGGTAATTGGGCCTCCGGTAACCTCACTCACACGACGTGAAACAACGCAAGCGTTGCTTTACGTCGGTTTTCTGTGAGGCCGTGGTATCACTCCGGTTGATCCGGCCCATTCGTGCCGAAGCATGGCTCTCCCACACTTAATCTGGGTCTGTGGTATGACTGTTAAAAAAATGTAAAGGTGGGAGAGCCATGTTTCGGTACTATAGGCCGGCCATAAGGATCGATACTACAGCCCCACAGAAAATAGGCGTAAACAATGTTTGCAGTCTACTAAGCCGTAAAAGCGGTGCGCCTAAAACCATCAAGTAATATTGCTGCATGTTAACTTCCAATAAAAACCAAAAAAACATCCCTATTACCTGAGGACACACTGAAGCGAGAATCCGGTCTCTCCCTTTCATGGGACAAGCTTCATACTTAGACCAGAACTCATCGAAACAGTCCTTTACATCAGGAGCAGTAGACAAGACTTCTGACTTCTGTGCATTGCAGACTTCTATGTAATTTGCTTGTAAGACTAGTTCAACTTCTGACTTCTTGTTAGTGCTTGAAGGTCGCCATCGGCGTCTGACTGTGCCACTGAAAGATTGACAGAAATATATAAATATTTCGACCATTTCAGATAATATGTTTATTTGTTAACTTATAGAATCAGAATCATACATCAATGTATGAGCCTAACCTACAGATAATTGTATCTTACTATGTGACCCAGAAAAATTTGTACTGCTTAAAAAGTTTTTTCTATTCTTTTAAACCTTCTCTGGACTTCCACGAATATTACAAGATTAAAATTAACCAAATAGGTTCAGTCATTCTTGAGTTTTAGCAAGACTAATGAACGGAAATTCATTTTTATT